GGTCGCCCTTCCCCAGCAATCAAGCACACACACACACACACACACACACACACACACACACACACACGAAAAATTAAAATTTCCTTTTTTTTATTACGTTTGTTTTTATTAAAATACTTAATTTTTGGTTTTCTATTTTTTAAAAATCAGAAAACACTTAAAAAGAAAAAACAAAAATGACCGCATTGTAGGTCTCTTCAAACCCTACAACCACATATATATATATATCTATTTGACGATATATATATATATATATATATATATATAGCTTATAGTTCTATTGGCCATGTAGGTTACCTTTTAATTGGTTTTTCATGTGGAAATATATATATATATATATATATATATATATATATATATATATTTGGCCCATTAGGTTTTTTTTTTTAAATGTGTGAAAATCTCGCCGCGGCCAACCGCGGGGCCGACCTCGGCAGTCGGGATCCCGACCGCAGGCGGAGATGGACTCCGCGGTTATGACCGCGGGTGATACATAGCCTGTTACCCTGGCAGAAGGGGGTATGAGATCAAGTGAGTTCTGGTACGACGACTGAATGCCTGGACCGACGTTCCGTCTGTTGAGAGGGGGAGTTTTGGATAGTAGGCAGTTTAAGTTTTGACGCCCCGCTCTCATATTTTTGCAAGCCTTTCAGATTTTTTCTGATTTTAGCCTATCTAATGAGGAAAGTCTTGAGAATGCATTAGGATTCTGGGCACCTCTTGCAACTCAATTTAGGTTTTTAATGTTGTTATATTCATGGATCTGCGGTTTTTCGAAGCCAGAACAACGCTGGCCAGAGCTGGGAGGTTGCCCTGTAACCTGTTAATAGCAGGAGCGTGAGGCCTGGTCGAGATATCTGGGGATGCCTTGGGCGGGCATTCCATGGGAAAACCAAGGGTTGCTGTCGGTACGATGCTGGCCGGAGCTGGGGTGAGTTGTGTTGCCCTGTAACCTAGCAGGATGGGGGCATGCGGCCTGGGAAAGCTCGGCAGGAAATAAGACAGTGTTAGAGAATTTTTGAATGTTTTGTTGGGGATTCGAGGGGTTCTGAGCATTCAAAGGGCTTTTGTGGCTTTCCGTTTTGACTTAGTAATAGGTTAGCAGTTATCCATGTTTTTCGTAAATTTTCTAGAATCTTTTTCATAGTTCTCAGATTGTTCTTAGCCGAAGTCAGGGCCCTGGTATTTCAAATCATTTGTATAATTCTATATGGGACACTGGGCCCGGTTCCCAGCATGTGTTGCTCCCCACGAATAGACTGGAACATTTCCCCCCCCCAAAAAAAGCAAAACAAAAACGGAGCATTTGTCCCAACAAAAAAAAAAAAGGGGCAAGTGTGTTTGTGGCACGAAATAGTTTCGAAAGGGCAAAAAAAACATCAGTGGGCATATTCGTCGGGGCCCGACTTCGAAAAGGCAAGAAACATGGGAGTGCAATAACGTCGAGGCCGAAGTCTGATATGAGCGGTTGTGGCAGTTTTAAATGGGTGGCTGTGTTGCAGGCACGGTACCGGTCTGGGTACCGGTCTGTTCCCAAGTACCGGGCCGGTGAAAAATATTTTGGCCGTGGCCAATCTGGGGTGTGGCCAAGACATCTCGGCCGTGGCCAATCCGGGGTGTGGCCGAGACATCTCGGCCGTGGCCCGACCATGGCCCATGGGGTGTGGCCGAGACATTTCGGCCGTGGCCAATCTGGGGTGTGGCCGAGACATCTCAGCCGTGGCCCTACCGTGATACACCTTTTTTTTTTTTTTTTTTTTTTTTCCAGCTGCGGCATGGCGCGGCGCGGTGKGGCCGAMAGGAAAAAAAAWTAACCGACCGAAAAAAAAAAAAAAAAAAAAATCCTTACCGCGCGGCCATGGGCTGGGACCACCGTGGATGTGACGCCAGCGCACTTTTTGAAGGGATAATCGGTAGAAGGCGTCCACGCCAAAACCTTTTCGGTTTTGGGCGCCCAAAGTTTGGCCGTTTGGTACTACCGGCCCAATGACTTGCATGTGGGGTGCTACAGGCCCACGCGTCTCTCCAAGGGCCCTACCGGATCAAGAATCTGGCTCATAACAGCACCAGATTCATTTTGATGTAAAAGAGGCCGGCGGTGGTAAAGTATCGAATGAGGCCCACATTCGCGATTTTGAGAAAGAAGGGCCCTACCTGTACATGAATCTGGCCCAGAAACAGCACCAAATTCTTGAACCGGTAAAAACAAGCCCCGGGAGATGTGGCCACGGCGCGAAGGCGCCTTTCACCCAGGGGAAAGTTGTTTGGGCCGGTAGTACCAAACGGCCGAACTTCGGGCGGCCAAAACCGAAAAGGTTTTCGCGTGGGCTCTTTCTACCAATTATCCCCTTTTTGAAGTCGGGGTGTGAGGTTACTACCCATTACCGTTATCTTTGCCTTTTCGAACTACGGCCATTTTTTTGTTGCCCATTAGTGTTTTTTTTGCCTTTACAGTTTGAAAGTGTGGTACTACCGCACTTGTTTCAAAAAAAAAAGAAAAAAAAAGAGGTGGTCATTGGGTGTACAGAGGGAAGACGTGCGCGAAAGTCGAGGAAGAGGGAGAAGGATGATTATGATGATGATGTGAGGGCACATACCTGGTATTGACGATGGTCTGCATTGGGCGACATCTTCAAGTACTTCGTTGGCTGCTGAGGTCAACAGTTACATTGTCAATTAGTAGGCAGACAGTAGCTGTGTAGGAAGTAGGCTGGGCGCAGAGCGCCAAGTAGGGAGAAGGGCCTGGACACTTATGTTGGTGGTGGCGAGAGCAAGCTCTCATTGACATTCTGTTTTCAGTGTTACGATTCTCCATTGGTATTATATTGGTGCAATGCTGCTTCCTGGACGCTCTGACACCTTCTGGCTTTCAATGTGATTGTGCAATCTGCATATTGTCATCTCGCTATTACTCATTTTCCTTGCTCCAGGCTGTTGTAGAGGTGGCATACTAGACAGATGAGAGTCACCCACAATAATAGGCCATGCACTTTCAGAAACTTTTGCTTCTTTTTGTTTTTTGACAGCCAATGGGAGGTACCTTGTAATGTAGGTCACCCAAAAAAACAAAAACAAAAAGGTTCCAAAAGACAATATCCACCAAAGTTATGAGCACTGTCAGATCCTGTGTTGATAGGCGGCCACTGTGAGATCCAACCCTCTCTCGGCCAGTGTGAGCTCCACCCCTTTCTTACGTCTAGCAATCTCCTCTTATTATCCCTTGGCTGGTGGGACGGTGCCCCTGAGCGTACATGAAGAAAAAGACCACGAATCGTTCACGGCCCCGCTTGAGACGTCCTGTACCTGCCTTACACTTCCTCCTTACAACTCCTCGCACGGCTGTCAACCACAAGGACTTTGGGCGTGACTTACCCAATAGGCTTTCTCATGGGGCCGAAAAACGAAAAAAAGTATGGCCCCTGCGCAAGGGCGAAAAGCCTAAAAAAATTCCACAGAAAAAAAAGGAAAGAAAACGGCTAAAGAAAAAGAAGAAAAGTGGTCCAAATTCGAATAAGAAAAAAAAAAAAAAAAAAAAAAGTTCGCCCGCTTTTGTGGTGCACCTGTCTATAGTTCCGGAGCTGCACCTTCAGGGTCGTGAGCGCTGCAAGCCCAGAGTCCTCGGAAAGTCAGCGTTGATTGCCCTCTTTACCGGGATAATCGGGATTGACTGACTAACCTACCAGCCTTTCCCTTTCTCAGGTCTAGTCTGCCGTATCACGGTACCGACTGTGGATTCATCTCCGAAGCACTGTCCCAGTGTTGCACATTGGGCCCTGAATCTCAGACGCCTCCATCGGCCTCTGGTCTTCTTTCTTTC